CACCTGTCAGAATGACTGCTATCAAAAAGTCAACAAATAATGATTGCTGGCGAGGTTGTGGAGAAAAGGGAACCCTTGTGCACTGTTGGTGGGATTGCAAATTGGTGCAGCCAGTATGGAAATTAGTATGGAGATTGTTTGAAAAATTAAAAAAAGAACCACCATACAACCCAGCAATTCCACTTCTGGGTATTTATCCAAAGAAAATGAAAATACTAATTCAAAAAGATATATGTACCCCTATGTTTGTTGTGGCATTATTTACAATAGCCAAGATATGGAAGCCACCTAGGAGTTCATCGATAGATGACTGGATGAAGAAAATGTAGCACATAATATATACAATGGAATATTACTCATCAGGAAAAACAAATGAAATCTTGCCATTTGTGACATGGATGGACCTAGAGGGTATTATGATAAGCAGAATAAGTCAGAGAAAGACAAATACCACATGATTTCACTTGTATGTGGAATTAAAAAAGAAACAAATGAACAAACAAACATAGACAGAGAAACAGAAAAAACTAATAGTTGCCGAGAGGATGGGTGAAAAATAAAAATGTACTTAGAAAAGACTGGTGAGAAATACACCAACCAAAAGAGTAAATCTTTGTCATTGGCTACTAAAACTTATTTTTAAGAAAAACAGTCTTTTTATTTTTGTTTAGCACTTTTGAAAAGAAGAGGGCTATAAATCTTCCTAGAAAAAAGAGCTTTATGGTTAGAGAAGGGATAAGTAATAAACCTGTGTTCAGCCAAATTGAATATTCATTCCTTAGACCTCCCAGATCCCTCTGTTTAGTTACACTTAGCAAGCATTCTGATTTGGGCATCAGAAAAAAGCACCCCTAGATGAGGGTCTCTAAAACCCCAGAGATACTCAGTTCTTTTCAAGGCTGTGCCTCTGTTATAAGAAACTCCATACCCGTTAGCAGTCAGTCCCCGTCTCCCTTTCTAACCTCCCAGCCCCAGGTAATCTACTTTCTGTCTCTCTAGTTTGCCTGTTGTGGATTTTACATTGAATTATGCAGCTTGTGGTCTTTTGTCACTAGCTTCTTTTCTCAGCATGATATTTTCAGGGTTCATCAGTACAGTAGTATGTTTCAGTACTTCATTTCTTTTTATTTATTTTTCATTACTTTTTACTTTAGTGTTGCATTGTATCGATATACCACATTTTATTTATCTGTTCATCTGTTGTTGGACATTTTGGTAGTTTCTCTTTTGGGTAATGCCACTATGAACATTCATGTATAAGTTTTTGTGTGACATATGTTTTCATTTCTCTTAGAGATAGATATAGATATATACCGGGGGTGCCAAAAAAATTTGTAAGTGGACACATTGGTCAACGTTGCTCAAGCAGTAGTTCACCGCCATCAGAAGTGTCTGGACACTGATGGTAGCCACTTTGAGCACCTCTTGTAATTGCAGAGTCAAACTTGACTTGTATTCATCTTTTGCTATCGGTATATATTGAGTATTACAATTTTAATATAGTTTTCCTTTCTTAAAATGTGTATACATTTTTTTGGCCCTGTGTATATAATACCTAGGAGTAGAATTGCTGGGCTATATGGTAATTCTGTATTTAACATTTTGAGGCACTGCCAGATTGTTTTCCAGAGTGGATGCATCGTTTTAAAATCCCATCAGCAGTGTATGAGGGTTCCAGTATCGCCACATCCTCATTAACAGTTGTTATTATCTGACTTTGATTATAGCCATCCTAGTGGTTGTGAAGGATGTATCATTATGGTTTTGATTTGCATTTTCCTGATGACTCATGATGTTGAGCATCGTTTCATGTGCTTATTGGCCATTTGCGTATCTTTTCTAGAATCTTTTGAAATCTTTTTTTTTTTTAAGCTTTTTTTTTTTTATTGGGTAATTGGGGGTATGGGAACAGTGCTGGGGAATTGGGGGAAGGGGAACAGACAAGTTGCTGTCCTTTTGTTCTTCAGTCTTGTTGTGGAGGACGTTGCTTCACTGGCCCAAGTTGGCACCATCATTGCGCTCTTCCCAGGCGAGGCACATCAGTCGCCGGCTGCTGGCCGCTCACGCTGGCTGCTGGCTGCTGGCTGCACACGGTAGCCCATGGCAACCCACTGCCACAGGGTCTTCAGCCTACGCCGTCGCCGGCAACTCACAACAGCCCAGCTCCAGGTTGAGCTGTTGTTCAACATCTTACCTGTGGAGGGCAGTGTCACTGGCCCTCATATGTGGGATCCGAACCGGGGCCCTCTGGCGTCCCAAGCCAGTTCTTAACCATCGCACCACTCGGCCCGCCCAAATCTTTTGAAATCTTTATTCAAATATTTTGCCCATTTTTTAATTGAGTTTTTGTCTTCTTATTGTTAACTTTAAGCATTCTTTATTGTATTTTGGATATAAGTTCTTTATTGTATATGATTTGCAGAAATTATCTTCTATGTGTTATTCGTCTTTTCACTTTTTCGATGGTATCCTTTGAAGCACATAAGTTTAATTTTTACAAAGTCCAATTTATTTATATTTTCTTGTGCTTTTAGTATCACATCTAATAAACCATTGCCTAATCCAATGTCACAAAGATTTGCATCTAAATTTTCTTCCATGAGCTTTATAGTTTTAACTCTTACACTTAGGGCTTTGATCCATTTTGAGCTAATTTTTGTATATGGTGTAAGGAAGTGTTCTAACGCCATTCTTTTGCATGTGGCTATCCAATTGTTTCCGCACCATTTGTTGAAAAGACAGTTATTTTTCCATTGAATTCTCTTAGCACCCTTGTTGAAAATCATGTAACTATAAATGTGAGGATGTATTTCTCGCTCGCAGCTCTATTTCATTGACTGATATGTCCATATGTTTATATTTGCCTTTCATTCATTCTGCAGAGATTTATTGAGCATCTTTATATGCTAAGCATTGCCTGACATGATCATGTTACTTGCTTTTCGGAGCCAAAGCACCCCTCTTGAAGCTCAAATCTGCTTTAAGAAACTCATTCTAACAGAGTAGAGCATCTCTTTTTTTTTTTTTTAAGTAAGATATAAAGTGGTTACCATTTGGGCCGGCCGAGTGGCTCAGTTGGTTAAGAGCTTGCTCAAGAGTGCGAGCTCTGAGCAACAGGGTTGCCGGTTCGATTCCTGGCAAAAACTGAGCTGTCGCTGAGCTGCCAACAAGTGACAGGATGGCTCAGCTAAAAAAGTAAAAAAAATAAATAAAGTGGTTACCATTTATACCCAAATCTGTAGAGGCAGTTTATCTCTGTCTGATTTGCACATGGTTTTTTGGCAAGTTGTTGTTTGTACAACTATATAAATGTTTAGAAGTCTGAGTGCATTTTTGAGGGCTTGGAAGAATGAAAATTGGTCTGGGATAGTCCAGTGAGTGTATTGAAAATGGGATTAGTTTTATTTATTTATTTTTTTTATTGTTAGTTTCAGGTGTACAGAACAATGCAATAGTTATCCTTTTCACCCTTCAGACAGAAGCAATCCCCCTCCCCCACCTACTGCCCTCCCACCCTGATATCATACTTATCTATTACAATTCCACTGACTCCATTCCCACACTCTGCGTCCGTGATTATATGTATATATAATTATAGTTCACATACAATATTATTCAATATCAGCTTCAGAAATACAGTGTAGTGGTCAGGCCTCTACACCGACTATGAAGTGGTCTCCCTAACAAGACATGAGTCCATCTGGCCCCCTAAAAAATATTTACAACATTATTGATTATATTCCCCAGACTGTCTTTTCTATCACTGAGGCCATATTGTAGTTACCAATTTGTATTGTCTCGTCCCTTCCCCTTCTCCTTCATCCCCACCCCCTCCCAACTAGCAACCCTCAGTTTTTCCTCTGTGTCTCTGAGACTACTTCTGTTTAAGTGAAATAAGTCAGTCAGAGAAAGATGAATACCATATGATCTCACTTATACGTGGATTCTAAAAAACTGAATAAATGAGAAATGGGATTAGTTTTAAAGTGGAAGAGGGATCTGCGACTGTGATGAGTGGTTCCTGGCAGGTGTGCAGGGGCCCACGTGCAACTTGAGAGGCCCAGGAAGCTCGTAAGTCTAGTTGCTGCAGCAGTAAGGCCACAGAGAAATGATTGGGGGCCACTGGATTGGATACCCATAATTCTGCTTTCAGATTTTATTTCAGTAGCAGTCCCTTGCTGGTGTAAAGTTACAAAGAGAAAATGATGTTTACAGATCATGGCTTATTGCTGGGTGTAGAATGACCTAAAGGAGACGAGAATTTTATATAATGGTGATGGCAGCTGGTCTCTAGGTAGAGATTGCAGTTGTAGGAATTGAAGGGAAAGGCCGGAGAAATGTAAGCTTAGCCGAACTTGATGATTATATGAAATAATTAAAGATGCTTCCAGTGTTATAATTTGAGGACATTGGGAGGATAATTGTACCGGTGCTTACTGTAATGAACAAAGTAAGAAGAAATGGTTTACAAAGATAATAAACTTTGATTTTGCTATGCTTATTGGCAAAATCTTCAAGTGGTGTCTAAGATACTAACTTAACCATTAGATAGTATATCAAGTCTGGTATACAGGAGCTTCCAACGTTCATTAGACAATTGATTTCCCTTCTATAGGTGCCTGTTCGTTTTTGAAAGTCCCATATTGTAAAATGAACTTTCAGTGTCTCATTGTGAAGGTTAAGCAATAGTTTTGTTTTCTCTACCTGTATGAGAAGTGTAAAAAGTACTTTACTTGGTCAGTGATTTTTGAAAGTCTTAATTAAGAAGGGTACCTAGGTCCCATGGTTTGTTATTGCCATTAACAATGTTATTGTTTTGAGGGAAGAAAAAGTTTTTAATATTTACTACATCGAAAAACAGTCTCTATAGCAATATAGATAAGTTTCAGTTTCTCAAGATGGTTTTGTGTCTAAACATTAAAATTTGCATGTTTTAGAAGATGTGTTTAATGTTGAAACAGTACATTACATTTATTTATCCATCTTAAAATTTCTTTCAGGAATTGTTCCCTCTTCTGTGGTCCTGACTTCTTTCCAGGTGATGTCAAGAGTTTTTCTAATATGGGCAGTAACACATAGTGTCAAAGAGGTAAGTGTTTGTATAGATTAAAATATAATAGTATCAGCACTAACAAATGCTAGTCAACTTTTCTTTCTCCCGTGTGTTATAGTTAAAGGTAGAACTCCATGTCCCATTAATATAGCCCAGATAAAATTCATATTCACCATAGGAAATGGGTTATTAGAGGGAGATATACCCCAAACATGCAGTGTTGTTAAAGACAAGACTGATTAAATGAGAGGTCCTGCAATCTTAGTTCCCATGGAGGTTTGGATGGCATGGATGTGTCTGCAGCTCAGTTATGTTTTTCTGGTATCTTGTTTGTATCCAACACACTAAACTCTGGACAACTGCATCTTTATAGTGGGGCCATTATGGGAGTGGAGGACATTAATTAATTCCCAGAACAGTCCAATCTTTGTAGGACCAGGAGAAACAAACTTGTTTCTACCCAGCCCAGCAGGATTAATGGAATTCCCAAATGTGCTGAGTCTGGTGGATCCGGGAGGTGAGTGCTCAGCTGGGGGCATGGCAGACCCAGGGATACTCCCTATAAGAACTGGGGAAGAAAGCCATCATTACCATGGGTGTGAATTCACAGCTAAGCTTTCATTTTCTGGTTGGAGGAGGTTGTTTTCCTCTATGTTTTTTGCTTTTCAAAAGTCATTTTATTTCTTGCTAATTACACCTTGAGGTAAAATACCTGTAGCCATCACAAGGATTTATTTTTCAGTTTTCCAGTCGCAATAACCTGTCACCATCGTTACTGGATTTTTTGGGGCTCATGAAATGTGCTTATCCATTGGCATTATTCTGGTGTTTTCTTTGTCTCTGTTCTTCCAAAAACTGTCAAAATATATTTTGGGGGGGGATTTATTTTGAAAATTTCATTTGTATTTCAATTAATGAGGTTTTTCAAACTTTTTATTGTCATATGATATGCATACAGAAAAATGCACATAGCTAATGAGTTTTTAACCAAAGTTGATTAAGCTATTATTTTTGTTACATTCGTATGGAATTTGCAGATGCACGGGCTTTTTTTTTTTTTTTTTTTTTTAAAAGCTCTTTCCTTGAAGATGTCTGAACTTTCTATGCAGGAAGATGTAAAACAGTCACATACTTGTTTTAGAGTGATCACATTTCTTAAAAAAAAAAAAAAAAAGTTTTAAAAAAACAGGCAAGTAAATCCTAACATAGCATATTGCCCTTTGTTCTCACTTTTTTTTATGGAGTAAGGAAAAGTTACTTTACTTACACCATATAACCTCTTCATTCATTTCAGGGTTCTTTCTACAAATCATCATTTTAACCTTTATTTCTTCCTTACTTTCATGGATACAGTATTTCCTTTTCCTTTAAAAACCAACTCATAGTTTTAACTTCCCAATAGTCTCAAGTGACCTATTTCTTTCTAATAGTAACTCATTTACATTCTTAAGTAGGTAATTATGTACTTTGAATAATTAAATGTTAGGTAAGTGAAGACAGAGAGTGCTGTCAACTGTGGAGTGTGTGATCGCTCTGCCGATAGTCAGACAGTAACTGTCCAGGTGCTGATGCACCAGCTGACGGATGAGTCATGGCCTCTGCTTCCCTTTTCTCTTCTGCTTCAGCACCACTCCTCTGCTTATTGGCCCTTCTGGCAAACGGAAGCAAGTAAATAAAAAATGCTTACAATTCAAGTCAGGCAATCCTATTAGCCACATTACTGTAGCAGCATCTGCCAGGATTTCCTAGGCAGTCCATTAAAAATGCTTGGCTTAAAAAGCCATTAAAGGGCCGGCCGAGTGGCGCGATGGTTAAGAACTGGCTTGGGACGCCAGAGGGCCCCGGTTCGGATCCCACATATGAGGGCCAGTGACACTGCCCTCCA